TTGTATAGCAAAGACCCTCAAAGAGCAAGGCAAACGTAGGGCCTCCACAAACCCATAAAAAACCCACAAGAATATACCCTGATGTCCAGACAATGATATAGAAAGGACAAGAATAAGACATTACAAATTATTAATTTATATGATGAATATCCTGCTTAAAGCTGAGACTTATAAAATAACTGAAAATTACTAAATAGAATTTCAACAATTAAGTAAATGAAGATTAAAGTGAAATTTTTGAATATAAATCGAATTAATCTTAATCTCTTTTGCTTAATTTGTTTTTACTCAAAGGTTTACACACACTTAATTTTTTAAATACATAGTTTATTTACGCTTAAGTATGTACTAAGAAACTTAATTATAGATCTGATTTTTACCTCAAGTAATACTTACTTAATTGGGAAATCCTTAAGACATCGGGTGCAAATCATCATCAATTCGTCCATCTTTAACAGATCATCCAAAGCTGAGAACCAGTATCCTTTTTAGGACATATATGAAGTATATTTAGTTTCTCTGTTTCGATTTTTCGAATCTGTAAACATATATTGTTTTTATTTATTAATAGTGCACTAAGAATTTTAATTCACTTGAATAATTGAATATTAAAATCTCTTATGTTTTATTTGTCTATTAGACAGTTTTAAACTATATAAGTTTATTTGAAGTATTTTCAAATTCTACTCATATAAACAATTATAACCACCAATATTCCCCCCAACATATTCTATAAATCAGGAAGTAAATAATCCCCATTAAGTATAAGCTTCTTGTTTTCCTAATAATACTATTATTGAATCCTTTTTAAATGCTCTCTTAATCCAATTCATAACTAATCTCAGGTTCGCTAAAGTAACATCATTTTAATCAGATTAATCACTTCTACCATGAATCTAATTACATTATTATAATTTTCATAATCCAATAAACTGCAAGTTATTATAATTTACTTCACTCGATATATCTATTAAAAATTATTTGAAATAAAAACACAACATATATTTATTCGTCAATAAACAAAATTTACTCTTATTATTAATAGAGTCTTGGTAATAAATTGTTCGAAGACAGAAACTTTCACTCATCCAGTATTATTCTTTCTTGAATTCCAAAAACCATTGAGGTCTTTAAGCATATTGAAAACCAATGATATATGACTAATAATAATAACCTTTTAGTCAGATTAAATTTAATTTTTCAATATTATAGATAGTATAATTGGAAAAATGATTATTAATAGCTGATAAAATCATAATAATTATTTTATTTGTGATAAATCTGAAATTCTAAATTGTTTTTATCAAAGGCCATATACTTCTATAAATGTAAAGTTGCCTTCATTTAAAAATCGTATATATACATCGTTGAATGGAACTAAGCTAACATCACAATGTATAAAGAATCATTAACTCTCTTGTAATTCCTTATCTTTTTAAGAGTATAATTTGGAAACCTTGAAAATATCTTATGGAGTTATGGTTTAAATTTTGTATTTTATTCTCTAAAATATCTTCCTATTTGACAAAACAAATAATAGAAATTAGATTGAAGAAATATTTTCATTTCACCAACTTAGTATCTTTTAAAATCCTCCGATCTTTCTTTCTTTTATAATGATGATAATAAAAAATCTTGAGTAAAACATCATCATATTTTAAGAAAGTAAATTTGAATTTCAATCATGTTGATGTTTGTTCTAAGGTTTTCCAGCTTAATTAAAAAAGAAACCATAAATATTTTTATGTTTGAGCTTAAATTAGAAATGTTTATTTAACTAGCTTGGAAAATAAGAAGTCGCTTTTAAATCTATATATCAAATAGGATTTATTTGGCTTTTACATCGAGATTTTGATTGCACAGTTTTACTTGACAGTATCTATCTATAGGTTTCAATTAAGTAAAATTTAGCTTGTTTTCCTATCTAAGTAGAACCTCAAGATTGATTAAATACTATGGATAAGCAACGAATTATTCTTCTTTTTCTATTAAATCTAGGCAAATGAAATGAGTAGAGTAAAAAGTTTAAAACTTTTCTAGGTAGAGTAATAAATGTTTTATGAAATGGAGCAAGGATCCTGAAACTGAAAAATATTGATTGAGCCTGCTGGATATTTTGGATAACACTAGCTTTTCCTATTGATTTTCTTATTTTCTTTTCTAACTATGGCTATCATAGAGGATTTCCAGTGATATACACAAGACTTGGTGTATTTATTTAATTGAAGCTTATTACTCTTAATACACTTCTGAGATAAGTTGCATAAATTATTATCCTCCCTTTGCATTTATAAATTTTTGATTAATATACCATGTGTTGGTTTACTACTTTTCATTCTTAATTTACGCTTTCATCATTATGTTACTCTAATCCTTTAAATTCTTAATTGGGCGAGCATTCCGGGCCATGAAGTC